TTGTTATTTAACTCGAAGTATCGGTTTAAATTTCGTCTTTTAATATTTAACAGTGTAGTTCCATAAATAAATAAATAAAAAAGAATAAAAAGTGAGTTATAAATTGTAGAAATAGACGTTACAGCGTTGCGAGAAATGTCAAGGATAATCTGATAAATATTTAGCGACGAGTATTTACATTATTTGTTGGCTCACATGTGCTCATCAGCGAGCAAATAAAAAAAAACGACATGATCCTGTTAACGGGATCCCCCATCACAATGCCCGGAAAATAACTGTTATCCAAATCAACCGCAACCACAGGTTTAATAACGATCTAAAAGTTATGTTTAAGGAACGTCCTCGTTTTTACCTCGCAAAAGGGAAAGGAAATCGCCTCGCTCGCGTCAAGGCCGCCGACAGCTTTAGACCCGTCGCCGATTTAGGACAACTACGATCGAACGCGCGATATTATTCGACCGGCAGAACTGCCCGTGACATTTCCATATTAATTCGTCACGATCACCGATCTAATCTCCCTATCCACGTGTCAGGGGACAGAAAAAAAAAACCCGCCCCGCGACGAAACGGGGCGAGCGTCGCTCGAGTTAATCGGAATTAAGTATAGGAGTTTAGTCTCGGAGTTTAGTCATCCTTTCGGCTCTCCCTCCGTGGACCGCCCTTCGCCCTTCGCCCTGCGCTTGACATCTCCCGCGTTCTAACCTCAAACGCGATGCAACGCGACACACGCATGCTATGGGGAAGAGAGAGTGAGACGGAGAGAGACACACAGAGAGAAAAAGAGAGTGAGAGAGAGACAGGACGAAGAAAACAAAACACCCAACTCACCCGTGCTGCCCGTCGTGTGAGGTCGCGTATCCGCATTTTCCTATGCCGTCGCACGCGTGCCGCCAGACGCTTGTCGGCATCTCACCGCCGTCGGGAGATAAATCCGCGCCGCGTAACTCCGAGGAAGGAAGCGTGGCTCGTCGTCGCCGTCGCCGCCGTTGCCGTTGTCACGCTCGCACGCACGCCGCACGCGAGCGCGAGCGTGGGCGCGCGGGCCGCTGCCTCGCGGCCGCATGGGGATGAGGAACCACGAGAAACGACACGCGTCCGATACTCGCGATTGACAGCGGGCGATGACGGACCGGGAGATTGACGATGACGAAGACGACGAACGAATACTCCGATGAATGGACGCTTCTCTCTCGGACGGTTCCTCTCGCGCCCTTTTTTTTCTTTCTCTCTCTCTTCTCTCGTTCGAATCTCGCCGCGCGGTGACACACGACGCCTCCGACGCGATCGCGATCGGTCGCGTGATTCGCGGCCAACTGCCTGGCGAACTCGCGCGGGAGTCGCGAGACTCGCGTCGCGAGTCGCGCGAGTTTGCGTCTCTGCGAGCGAGTGCCGCTCGTCGTAATAGGCGTTGTTGACGATGGCCCGACGTGGACTGTGGACGACTGTCCTGAGCCTAGTCCCGTGGACTAGATACCGCGGCGTAAAGACGCCCGTAAAGACCGCGGCGCGCGAGGGACACGAGCATTTATTATTAAACTCCTCGCGAATGCCATAGGCGGGAAACGCATCGTCGTTTCTGCATGCGCTCCGTGTCGCTTCGCTCCGCCGGCTCCGCGTCGGCCGATGATGCATTGCCCTGAATTGCCTCCTGCTCGCGTGCACCAGCTGGCAGCAGCTGTCAATCGATCGCGGGACGCGGGAGTCGCGCGTCGCGCGTACTCCTCAGTTAAACACCGAGCATCAGTACTGCAGACTGCAGTTCCACCTGATAATTTACTCTTATAATTTCTCGCCCAACAATGTAAATGCAATATGTATAATACATACACGGAAAGAATTTTTTGTGTTATATTTTACCCTTAAATTTACTACAAACTTAAGACAAACTTGGCAAGGAATTTTTAAAATATACAAAAGACATTTTACAAACAACGTGATAAAAATTACCAAGCAGATTGGTAAATTTTGAAAAATTATTGAAATTTTCTAGATTTTAGTAAAATTAATCAAACATATTTTATATTTTAATGTAATAAATATTAATATTTTTTATTATGGTGGATATTATATAATCAGAATAGCTCGCATAAAATTCTCGCATAAAATTCTTGGTGGTACATGTTGTCCCACAACTACCATGATTTCAGGGTTTAAAAGAAAATTATCTCCGTGTAGCTATACGTTATATTGAGTAGAATTGAGTGAGAAGATGTAATGTAACTGGATCGATGCTTGGTGCTTATTGGATCATCTTGTAACTCCATCTGCACCCAGCGACACTTTCTGCCTAAAATAAGATAGATATTTAATATAATTATGTGTTAAAATATTCTGAAAATCTTCATCCAATTATTTCTAAAAGTATATCTGATAAATTTTACATATATTTTTCAGAATTTCTCATAATTCTAAAATATGAGAAATTCTTAGAAAATTTCTGAGAAAATATTTCTGAAAAATTTTTTCACCAAAAATTGCATCAAAATCCCGGAACAAAAACTCGCACGTATATAAACATTGTTTAAACCCCTCTCTCTTTTTTCTTTCATTTTTCATTCCTGCCCCAAAGTCTTCTTGATATTTTTAATTGGTCCCAAACTATTAATCAATAAAGAATTAATAATTCTATCCACTTTAACAAAGTTGCGCAAGTTTATACTTTTGACGAGCTAATTGCCGATTGACTTTAATCGGCGTTTGATCAAATAAATAGTCACCCTCTATAGAGTGTCGAGGGACATTTAAAAATGGCCGCAGTGTCGGCGCGTTAGGAAAACGCAACTGATCAACGTCGTCCGGGATACCGCCAGACCAGGATACAAGCCGACGTGTTTCTCGATATCGCAACGAGTCACGTCGATGCACGGACGACGTTTCTATTTATAACATATTCCCGATTCTTTCGGCATCGTCTGCCAAGTATTTTGACGTAAGACCAAGCCGGACGTACGTGATTTCGCGTCATCGAGGTAAAGAACACGCCGTGTGGGGATCGCGTCTCCGATCTTTCCGCACGGTCGTTCCGCCGAGGGTTCTTCCGACTCCTCTCGCTCGCCACCCGCGAGAACGTTTCGCGTCCGTTCTCGTCCGGTTTCCCCCCGAGGAAGTCCAGGAGTCGTCGCGCGGAGTGCGCGGACGGTGTCAGCTGTGCGGTGAGGTTAAGTCTCATATAGTCTCGCGGTCATAGTCCCGCACTCTCTCTCTCGAGAGAGAACGCCTCGCGCGAGGGGAACGACGATGTCGCCCGGTATCAACGGCGGCGGCGGCAGCGGTGGAAACAGCGGCGGAAGCAGCGGCGGAGGCGGAGCCCCCCGCAACACGGGCACCCTGCCGAAGAGCAATCGCAGAAACGACAGGAACCGGGAGCGATCCGCGGCTAATCGGCAGCTCGCGAACCGCCCGGCTTATTACGGCTATCCGCACTTTAATAACTTGGTAAAAATCCATCAGGAGCTTTTTGCTCCCCCCAGGAGTTTGTTTTCCTCGTTTTGTTCAGGTAGACCAAGGTAGACTGTGAGATGCACGTGCGGTCCACGCGCATCGACAGAAAATGAGACAAAATATTGTATTTTATGTATATGTTCTTTTAGTTAATTATCTTTGCTGGTTAATCTTCCTATACCCGCGCATGGGTCTGTCAGACCGACGATATACGTTTGCCTTGTTTTTTTTTAAATGGAAAACAAGGCAAACGTATATCGTCGGTCTGACAGACCAATGCGCGGGTATAGGAAGGTTAAAGGAAGCACATTGTTATCAATATTCTGAGTTGTTTGAGCTTTATTTCGTGCAATTTGTAATTTTGGATCTTATTCATTGTACAGGTGTCACTTCCAATTGTAGCTTCAGTGGTCTTGATCTTGACATATGTTGTTGAAGTCACGGTTCTAGTTTTGTTTCGCATATAATTCATTACGTTACAATGGTTCCATATGGTTGTCCACGTGAGGTCCGTCCCACAGCGTTCGATGCTTGCAGGGCAAAAGGAGGTTTGTTATTGTACAGTTTCACAATGCGAGTAAGGTCCACCTCATATCGCCCAGTGTCTGCACCGTAAAGTAGTCTATTATTGTACGTACGGTTCACGGTGGAAAGTTGGAAACCCATGTGTGAACTGGTATAATAATAGACCTCGTTTCACTCTGCGAGCATTGGGCAGTGTGGGATGGATCTCGCATCACGTAGAAAGTTTGAAATTCATGTGGAATTATTTTATATTAAAAATAATCGCTGTAGAGCTTTCGGGCAGAAAAAAAATTGCAAGTGGTATCTCTCTCTGTATAATGAATAAGACCCATAATTTTTAATACTTGCTAAACATTTTATTTAATTTATTTATAAGTTATCGAGCATATATTTAGTTGTCGATGAGTTATATATGAATGAGTAACGATGAGAGAATAATTGTGATGGAGAGATCGAAAAAGGAAATGATTATAAATAAGTTGAATTCTAAGTTGAATGATATTTAGTGGGAGAAGACGCCCGAAGCCTACTCCGATAGAGATACGCTATTAAGCCGCTCTCAGCAGTGTCGAATTCGGTCTATTAATAGGCTGTAGAGTGGTGGGGCGTTTCTCACTCTAAGAATACATATCCACGGAGGTGAATCCGCAGTAGAGCTCTGCGAGCATTTCTTCCAACACACCCACAAGCCCATTTCCGCTCTACGTCTGCAATACTTTAACGCTAAAAACGTTTATATATTAGTGTCAGCTGGACTGGCAAGTAGCAAGTGAATGCGAGCGTGAACCAAGAGTACCGAGGGAAACGAAGAACAGCAACACGAGATCAGCTTCTTCTCAACTGCTTTCTTCATACTTTGCTACGTACCAAGACTTACCTGATTTTGGTGAGCGTATATATATATTTAATTCTACCTCTTGTGTCGTGTACTCAGTCGTAATTTGTAATTTTACTTGTCGCAGCATCGCACAACTCGGCGAGACAGTGCAATTACAGTACAGAAGACTACACCCCTTGGCTAAAAATGGTACCATTTTCTGATCCCAGAACTCAGTCACCGTCGCGATTACAGGGAACGAAGCCCTCCAATGTGAATAAGATGGTACTATCCTGTATTCACCGCATCTAAATATTTCTATTTTAAATTGTAGTTTTTTTCTGTCATTTTAATTTTATTATATAATTACATAATTTTTTAAAAATTTTTAATTCTATTTTTTTTTCAAGCCCGATAGAAACCAAGTAGAAAGTCGTTTAAATCAGATCAGAGACTACATCAGAGTCACTGCAACAATGATAGACTCTCTTAGTCAATCCTCTGATCCTGTGAGTATCATTTATGCACAATAGTATCGCAAATACTTTATTTTATATTGTATGTAGAAGATTGTGTTTAAATTACTTTTTATTTGTATATTACAATAAATGTATTTTATAGCGCGCACAAGCTCAGAGCGAAAAGTTAAGTAGAATGGTGGACGATCTTCACGACAGTGAGACTAAGCTCTCCAAATTGTTGGAGCAGTATCATAATCATGGAATTTCTGACGAGGTTATTAGTCTTTAATGTTATATCGAAATACACACACACACACATATTGATTTTGTCAAATTGAATATCTTATAATTATAATATTTTGTGCATACGCATATGTAGAACGGCGAAAATGGAGAAATAGATGAATGCGGCGATGCTAACAGAGAGATCCAATTACGGAGGAATATGGAAGAATATCAGAACAAACTCGCGCAGTTGCAAGAGCAGCAAGCCAACTTGGCGGACATGCAGATGTGCGTCAGAGAAAGATTGAACAAGGCGCGTCAGGCGCAGCAAATGCTTCTGCAACAGGAGAATCAGAATACGCCCAATTCCGCTACGTGGGAAGACAACCGTGCATCCCTTCCGAGTCCTTCTAATGTCGAGCAACTTGAATCGGAAACTGCGGTATTGCGAGGCAAATTGGTGCAACTACAGACAAAGAAGAAACAAATGGATCATCTTGTAGCGGAATTACAAGCCATAGAGACGTCCGATAGAGGCAGTTGTGTTAGTTTTTATTTTTATTTCATATGATACAAGTTCACTTAGACACGTACTTCACAAATATGAAACTTATATTTCTATATACTTTATTGTATACATACATCATATCCAATCTTGTCCTTTGTTGACTACAACTAACTGTACTCCCTTCTAAGAAAGTATACAGATGTCTGTCGCTTGATATTCTTCCTTAGTAATACTAACAGTTCTGCGCGACATACCAGTGGGTACAAACGTTTTATGACCGCTGAAGACATTCTTAGTTAACTTATCGTTTTATCGAACTTTTCGAATCTTATCGGTGACGATGAGGACGATACGGAACCATTACGCAAATTTCATATTTGTGAGATTTTCTTATTTGTGATTTGTAAATTATATTAATCATTCGTTGTTATCGCATTTGTATTAATTGTCCAGAGCTCGGAAGGTTCAAGAAACACAATGAAGGATAAAGCCGCGGAATTGGAGACGATGAAAGCGCAGCTTGCACATATAAAGGCTCTAATGGAAGACAGTACGAAAATTCGCGATTCTATCGACTCTTTTTCCGAACCCGAGCAGGATATCGACGCGCACGATGAAAATGGAACAGATGGGATTACCGAGGATATGGCAAACGTTCCGTTTGAGAGAAGCAATGATGTCAATCAAAAACTTCGATGTTTCGAGTCCAACATTTCAGATATACGGGTAATGTCGACAATCTCACAATAATATAATTTTAATATGATGTACACTACAGCACTTTGCTCATTTTCTAGGCGCTGACGTCAGAGCTTAAAGAACAATCGGCCTTGCTACAAACTACGCGAGCCGAATTGCAACAACGTTTGAAACAACCATTGTCTGCAACTGCTCACCCTGCTTCTTCGAACTGCTCGTTCTCTCGTCCACCTCCAGCGCTTGTACCTCTAAGCGCAAACGAAAAGAAGCAGAGTTGTAATGCCAGTACGGAGAGTCAATCTAAACAAGCAAAAAGAAGTCAACTTGAAGATCTTATAAGAAAGGTTTACAAACTTTATATTTTTTTTATGTAATTCTTATGTAATCACGCATTTATTACATACATATATCTTTCGAATAAATAGGAACCAACACAGCCTTCCAATATGAATCGGGATATTCAGGCGTTAGATCAAAACAGTCAAAGGAGCTCCGGTTCGCAAGCTAGTCATACCAGCACACCTGCAAATATCTGGCCATCTTCTGCCGCTGCAGGTAATTATTATTATTATTATGTACTATGACAATGATGATATCAAGCACTCTTTATCTTGCATATTTTGCATAGGTGCAGGAGGTTCTAACGAGCAGAGCGTAGACGGTGTATCTACGTCAGAAAATTTATTGGATATCGGTCCACCTGCTGCTATCGAGAATGGCGGAGTTGTTGGAAATTTATGGGCCTGCCCTGTACCACCTCCGTCTATTAATCAAGGACAAACTGGTAAAGTGTCATCTTGAAGATACACTTAAATCATTTTTAAAAAGAGGGAGAAGTTAACGTGTTTCTTTCGTTGCAGCCACGGTCGAGTATTATCGGCAATTATTATTGGGTTCACAAGCTCATCAGTTGCAAATGATGGGTACGACGATGCAACAGTGCTGTCAGCTTCTGTGGTCGCAGCAACGCGAATTGCAATCCATGCGCGCTGCCATTGCCGATTTGCAGCTGCGATCACAAAATCAGGCTCCGCAACGCGCCAACAATGCTGAAAATTTGGAGGAACATTCTAATCTGAGCCGTAGCGTCCACAATCTCGGCGACACGTTGGACGCGACCTTACCTCCCAGTTCATCCTTACCGAATCTCGTGTCGCTACCTAATTCCTCAGCGGCATTATCGCATACTCCGATAGTTAGCTCTAACTCGCAGCAGCAACAGCAGCAACAATTGAACAATCAAGTTCCTCCTGGTAATAGAGCGAATAACTACTGGGATAATTTTCGAAGGTAAAAAGATTGACTCATAAGTTGACGAATATGTGTCTCGTTAGTTTTGATTTATTAATGAGTTAATTTCAATATTTGTGCATTGTAAAACGGTAGACTTGTGAAAAAGGCAGATATTTTATTGCGTATATCTACTCTTTCATAATTAAATTTTTACCTGACTATAGAGATTTTTTCTAAAAATATACTTATTATTAAATCCGATTTCAAGTGTGATTACTGTAATAGAGGAAGACAGATAAATATGGAATATTAATAAAATTGTTATTAAAATTATTATTAAAATAAAATTTATTAATATAATCACTGATTTTGATAATTGCGCAATAGTGACAATAGGCGAACATTAGAAGATCTGTAATTACTATTCCATATTTTTTCTACTCCATATTTGTCCATGATATTTCATAGTTGCCAGATTGATCGCATCCATTTTCCATTTTTCTGTAAATCTAATGTATCGCATTTCATTTAGTAATAAACATCACAATCTACCTTTGCAACATTTTCTGTCTTATACTTCTTACTCTCTTATCATTACCCTTGTTTAAGAGACTGTAATAAGCACGTATAGTCTATATTATAAGTTCAATTACCTAATCCGGTGGTTACAAACGAAAATAAATAAGGAAAACGATTGTTGGTAGGTAATACATAGGTATGTAAATGATTTTGGATTGAGATTTGGATAGTATCATCAATGTATCTTTCGATGACTAATATTAAAGCATGTAATGACAATGATTGTGTTAACATTGAAATTTTATCTTGCGATTTAATAGCAGTTTCAAGTCCTTTTTTAAAATTTTATAATAAACCTTTTTGATTAACGATTGGTAATTGACCTTTATGAGATCCACGAATTTTTGCCTAAACACAAAAATATATACGCCACACATTTGTATTAATATTATGTATATATTTTTAAATTTTCAGTTATTCTCGACAGAATCTGCTCTCAGGAAATGTGAAGACAATGACTGATCTTCCAACGGCTATAGCAAATTCGGCGTGTTCCGCAAACACGACTAATACAAGCGGAAGCAGCGTTAACAGTTCGTTAATGTATGCAATATAAAGTTAATTACATTGACAATTAGAGTATATATACTTCTTATGTAATATCTTTTATTTGTTTCTAGAAAAGATAAGCGGAATCGAGAACAGGGGTCTGACAACTTACCTCTACCATTAATCGGCGCGGAAACGCAATATTCATTGAACCTACAATTGCCAAATTTACAATTGTCAAATTTACAACAACAGGATAGAGAAAACGCTACTATCCGCAGTAATATCATAGCAAATGAGGTGTCTCAACAAGTCGATAATCTTTGGGAGGAAGCTCACAGTTCTTTCCGATTACCGTCTGCGATGAACGATGATAATCTTTTTAATAATTCAAGGTTTGAATTCTTTTTGAGATTTCTCAAATGCAATTATTATGTAGTTTTTATACGTATTCATATATAAAAATATGTTCTCGATTTTACAATAAACAGTTCAGAAATGAAGGAGGCAATCAGTTCGCTCATCGCAGTGAACAGGAGGCGACCCGATTACTTAATAATTATTTTGAGAGAGATTAAGGCTATTAGCGAGGATCACAGATTACGACCTCATTTGTTAAGATCGTTACGTGCATTACAGGACAAACAAACATTAAATAATCCATTGGTTAGTATATGATCTGCAGAGTACAGTATGTATCTTTATAAATCATTCCATATAATATTAAATTAGCTATCAACTAACATTTGTTGCAGAACGAAGCACCTGACTTAACTCCAAGCGAAAGTTGTCAGTCTAGCGATGAAGACTCGGATATCGGTGCGACCTTTACTTTGGAAAATCATGCGTCCATGATGGAATTGGTTGCGACGTCTCATGTAGACACTGCCTCTTCTCCAGCTTCGTCTCAAGTACCATTAATAGAACATTTGGAAATAACGGTAAATAATAATATCAACAAAGTAGAAAAGCTCGAATATAATATATTACAGAGAAATATTTCTCTAAATTATAATTTCTAATATTGTTAGGGAGCATTTCCACTTGACTCTGCGAGTGCTGTCCCTTCCGCTTCTAATGCTAAACCCGGTTATAACGAGGATTTAGCGGAAGCCGATCAATCGAGACCTGAAGCTTCGGGAAATCAAAAAGTATATCTTTTTTTCTCTCTCAAATTTGTTTCAAAACTAATTGTAAGTGGCAAAGTAAATATTAAATATGTTATATGCTATTCCAGCTTCCTATTAGCCATATGGATAACGAAGAAGGGCAAGAAGAAGCAGCGTCTTATCCGATTACTGCAGAGGCAGCTACTCCTGATCTTGAAAGTCTAGCTGCCAAAACTGAAGACGAAAGAGCGGAGGATACCGGACTTGACAATTTTTTCAGATTGCATTGATTAGATTGATTGATTGTGTGATACGATACTATTTACAGCTATTTTAAGCGCGATATTAAAAAGAAAGTAGACACGTACAGTAATCTTTGATAAGGTATTTACTTACTACTGCTTCCGTTTACATAAATATTGACTAATAAGTGAAGTCTGATATGAATAGCAAAAGATGTGAAACATTTAAAGCTCTCGCTAATATGCCTTCAGATTAGAAGGGTACGCAGGCGAGATCAATTATAAAAATAAGTTTACATTATATAAACACGTATTACACCAATTTATGCAATGAATACATATATACAATCCTCAAGGAGATATGAAATCGACTAGCGTAAAAAATGCGAACTATGTAGATATTGGCACGTGGATAAAAATCCCATAAGGTTTAATTATTTACGTCCTATGTATCATTTATAATTATATTTAAACAATGATTATTTATAAGAAAAATATGCTTGTTTTACAATTGAGCCATTAAATTGCGGTATTACATAATGAGCGTTTTGCGTTTTGCATAAGTAAGCGAACAATAATCTATGATAAATTTTTACAATGGACTATTTAATGAACAATACCAGTGACATGAAACAGGGTATTCTGAATATGTCCATATTCTGAACTCGTTGAGCTATAGAAGCTTTAAACTCGGGAGAATACGGAGTCTATTCCCCAATTAAGAGATCTAGTAAGGAACCTATTTTAGTCCAACAGTTAATTATCACCCAATCACAATTGAGAACTCTCTCAAGGCTTTTAAAACTTAAAAAAATATATCGATTTGCTTACTCTGTTTCAGTTCGCTAGTTTTCTTATTAAAACGATCGCATATTTAACAGTTTAAGGGGATTATTTTTATTTTTATTTACTGATATTTATTGTGCCAAAATACATAACTGAGTTTTTAAAACCAATAAACAAGTTTACATTTTTCTATTTAGCTCGCTGTGAGCTCATTTGAGCTTCTCTCAGGAATTCTGTACTTTCAGGTAAGTGGAGTTTATCCTATTATCGTGTATTAAATATGTATAGTTGATCCGCGAACGAACCTGTTAAATTATTACAATATCGGTTGTGACCAGACAAAATATTTACACTTAAAAAAATTATTTTTTAGAATGCGGTTATATTACACATTAAAATTTTATAAATCGTAACTTTCGGTTATCCAAAAATTCAATAAAAATGATTATTTGGAGACACGAATGAATATCGCCATACGTAAAGACATGTATAGACAATAAAAATAAATTTACAAAAATTATATTGTTTTTGCATTATTAATTTTAATTAAACTTTACCACGAATATAAAATCTTTAACGACAAATAATAATCGAACTATTTTTTTACTATTTTTTTATAATTTTCACTTTAACCTCATAATTTATATAATATAGTTATTTCAAATATAATTAGCATTCGAGCAATTCATCGAAACATTGGCCGCGTTAAGCAGACACAACTGTTGAGTTCGTCTTATCAACACTCTGCGTTGATTGGTTGGTTTTAAAAGTAAGAGCCACGCACGTTCGACTGCTACTCAGCGGCTTTGGTCTGCTGAACGCGCCCAATATTGTTCTAGCAATTTCACTAATCACTTTTATTCATATAATATTTTTTGTGTATTTCTATCTATAGACCATATTTCCAATAAGAATGAATAATGCACATTTGACAACATTTGAACTACGGATTCGTAATAACAAGATTTTAGCCAAAATATCGAATGAATAATCTTATTCAATTTAGGATATTATTCTTAATCAGTAAGCTCATCTGTAGTACGCTAAAGAGCCTGATTTTGTACTTTTGCTCTTAAAAATTTATAAGAAATAAAATACGGAGTTAAAGTGCAGTTTAACGTGCACTTAGGGCCAGTTTCACAAGTGTCGGTTAACTTTTAATCTTAGATTAACTTACTCTTCTTCTTTTTCTAAGGGGGACGTTAGAAGGAGATGAAGAGTGAGTTAATCTAAGATTAAAAGTTAACCGACACTTGTGAAACTGGGCCTTAGTGCATAAAGTGCACCTGTCGAAAACGTCACCCGGGTGACACGGATATACTGCCTTCTCCTTCTAACTCGCTAAGATAGAAAGAGAAGGGAGTATACTCGTGTGCACTCGGGTGACTGTTTCCTCCGAACGCAGCCAATAAAGATGCGGCTTGGATTCGCCTAGCTCGTTCTCCACAATCTCCATCCGCGCGCAATCCCGAAACCCGACGCATGACGACTCCATTTTGAGCTTACTCGTAAATACTCGTGCGCGAAGCAGGTATTTTTTCCGGGATCCGATTGTTGGAAGTTGTACCGCCCTCGGAAATGCTCACGAGGTATATCGGGAGGCTGCACCCGCTTAAGGCGGACGTCGTCAAGCGCGGTGCGCACAAATGCACGTCAATTTTAGATACGGCGTCGAGCGAGGCGATTGGGAAGCCTGCCAAAGTACAGGTTAGAGCGTGCTTCTATTACGCGAACTTTTGTCGCGTCGCGGACCAACGCGAAGGCTCGAGGGACGTCCGAAGGGTGTCCGGGAGAGATCACGCTGTCTTCCAGACAGCTGTCGGCCGTCACTTTCGGACGTCCGTGGCGCTTGGAACGATATTGCATAATTAATAGAGACGGAAAGTTCTGGACGTTGTTCCATGACTGTCATTATCTTATGCTTATCCATATTTACAAACTTGACAGATATATTAGAGTTCGGTTGCGTTTGAAATTAACGTTGACTCGGCGTCGCTTTCCGTTTCGCCGTCGCGTCTACGGCTTACAATTGAATCCACCGGCTTAAACTTGTTCACTCACTCACAGACATGTATTGATCTCCATACCTAGGGCTGGGTACGAGCGCTGCGGAAAATGAAGGACAACGTCTTCGTCGACATATCCGACGGATCAACGTGCGAAATGTTACAAGTTGTTATGCCGAAGGCGATCAAGCCCGACGAGCTGCGTTACGGCAGTAGCGTCAGAGTGAAAGGAGAGCTGACCTCCGCACCTAACGGCAAAATGGAGCTGCGCGCGACCGAGGTACGCGTGATCGGCGCGTGCAACGTATCCGAGGATGGATATCCCTTCGCGCCGAGAAAGAAATACGATCCGGACTATATCAGGCAGTATTTGCACTTGAGGCCGAGAACGCGTGGCTTCTCTAGCTTGCTGAGACTGCGCGATCTCGCCAGCGCGGTAATCGGCGATTATCTGAGGGATAGGGGCTTTGTAAGCGTGCACACGCCGATGTTGACGTCCAACGATTGCGAGGGCGCGGGCGAGGTGTTTGTCGTCAGGCCGCAGTCCAAAGAGGTCGTAGAAAGTATGAGGAAGGAGGGTCAAACCGAGGACGAGATTTACTTCGACACCGCCGCCTTCCTCACTGTCTCCGGACAGTTGCATCTGGAGGCGGTAGCAAGGTGATTAAGTTCTTTGATTGCGTATTGTCAAGCGACACGTATCTCGCTGCGCACATGTATCTTTTTTTGCAGTCGTCGCTAAAATCATGGGATGCGAATGTATTGTTAGGACTTTTTCAGAGCCCTCACAAAAGTGTACACTTTCGGACCTACGTTCAGGGCAGAAAATTCAAAGTCCAGATTGCATTTATCCGAGTTTTACATGTTAGAGGCAGAGCTAGCGTTTCTCACGTCTATCGAGGATTTGATGGAGGAAGTTGAGCTTTTAGTGAAGCGAGTTACCGAGCGAATGATTGAGAAGGGCGCCTCGGATCTGCGTGCGATCGGTGCCCTAGACCCGCAATGGTTGAACAAAACATTTGCATGTTTAACGTACGAAGATGCGCTTAACGTGTTAAATGATAACGCGAGTCAATTGCAACGACCCCTCAAGTATGGAGAGGCATTCACGAAAGAGCACGAACTGTTTTTAGTGCAGCATAATGACGGGGTGCCAGTGTTCGTTGTTAACTGGCCGAAAGAAATTAAGCCATTTTACATGAAAGAATGCGCGGACGATGCATCAAAGGTGAGCCAGCAAAAAAATAATGCGCAATTTTTAAGAATATATGTTTCCCACAATGATATATAAGTATATTGGAGTGTCCACTGAGTCGGCCGGCGCGAGCCGAGAGAGAGAAAGAGAGAGAGAGAGAGAGAGGTAAATAGTTGGGCTAACTGTCTTTGTACACAACTTGTATGACAAAGACAACTGCAGGATACGCGCAAGCGTCTTGTACAAGAGAAAAACAGAGATCCTAACTCGTCAGGTGCATTCATTTACGCAGGACTGCATGCAGAAACACATCACCCGAGTGCTAAAAATCCTACAGCATAAGTTACGTGTACCTACTATAGATTTTTAACACTCGGGTGATGTTTCCGCACGCAGCCCTGCGTAGACGAATGCACCCGTCTATTTATCTCTGGATTAGGCCTGTTCGTTTTATGCTCATTTCTCCCAATCCAGATTGACTTCAATCTCAGTTTAACTTACTTTTTATCTTCTAATTCTTAGAAGTAGGAAGAGCTGAAAGGAAGTTAAAATAAGATTAAAATTAATCTGCATTGGTAGAAATGGACATTAGCTAAACTTTTTGCACAGTTCATTTTTTCTCTTTTTCTCTCCAACGTGAAAAGAAAAAGAGGAAAGATAAGCCATGCAAGAAGTTTCAGCTAAAACGAAGAGGCCTATTGTTTTCCGTCCACGAGGATACCATGGCAGTGCACACTCCAATATATTTATATCTCACAGTGGTTTGCTATACGTATCTTATACATGTTCTTTTGAAAGGTAGCAGCACTGGACCTGCTGGTGCCAGGTGTGGGAGAATTAGTAGGAGGCAGTATGCGTGAGGATGATTACGAGAAATTAGAGCTGAAACTACCTCCCACGGGGAATCTCTCGTGGTATTTAGATTTACGTAAATATGGGAATGTACCAACAGGTGGCTATGGAATGGGTTTTGACAGGTTCTTGCAATGCGTCTTGGGGATCGGCAATATCAAGGACACCGTGCCTTTCCCCAGATGGCCGCACAATTGCAATTTATGAATAAAGTTTTCAGGGTTGTTGTATCATTTAATCTCTCCCCCCCTAACAAAAAGAAATGCATATTGATGCAACAGATTAAGCCATCTCCCCAATGGAAAAACAATGTCGCATATAATTCATATAAGAAATCTTTTCTTAAATTATTGGAATGTGCATTTCAGGTTTCTTGAGATGGATACGATTGCAACCTGATCGAATAACTTTCAAAATTTTTTCGGGATAAAGTTTCAATGAGTTACACAAGGGTTCCATTTTGAATGCAGTTTATTGAATATTGAGACATACAACGAAAATATTAACTTTTTATCAATGTCTTTATTGTTTCAAGTATTCCTAGTTATGAATTCAAATCCGTACCCTAAGTAGCATCGAATCTATAATTATAAAGGATATAGTAGAAAGGTTAATTAAAAAGAAAGTCAAACCTGTAATAAACAAGTCTTCTTTTATACAACAAAATAATGCATATCTAATTGCGGTAGTCCTCGTCATTCTCGTCGTCGTCATTGTTTTTCCGTTGATAGTTTATATGTATATTACAAGTAGAACCCATATATATCACATAATTTGTACACCTTGAAATGACTCGCCCCCTACCCCCCAAAGAACTCATTCATCTCGAAGGAGGTTTGCCCCATCCTACACAAGTACAAATAGTACATAACGTTACAGGTGAGTGCAAATTAACAATCAAACTCACAAGTACAAACGGTACTCGAAAGTTTCTAGTGAGCGTAAAAACATCATCAAACTTAAACAAGTACAAATGGTACTTGAAGTTTTCAGTAAGTGTAAATCATCGGTAAATCTTCGTGATGGTTTCCTTGATCACAAAAGCGTCTCGCTAAATAATACATTCACTCACGCAGGAATGCTACTACAATCTTCCTAAATTACACGAAATATGTACAGCTTTCTTTCTTTCCGCGTTCATCGAGATGGTAATATTCGGGATATATTCACACTTGCACGCATTTCACACACATTTTTTTCTTTAAACTTGTACGACGTGACTGAATTCGATGAGAATCTAATTAAAGGGTTTCAGTCCGTGCGTTCGAATAGACTGTGTATATGCAAGAGTCACGTAGTAAATTTAAATTAATTTAATTAAATTAATTTAATTTAATTTAATTAATTAATTTAAATTAATTTATTTCATAATAAATTAATTTAAACTTACTAATTTATGTAAATTTATCTAAATGAGAAGAGATAAAATACCCTACGAGGACAAGCGTGGATTTTAAAATATCCATGTGTATCCGTGTGTTAAAATATCCCATAGAACGAAAAATCTTTCTATGGAAACTTTTTTGAGTTACATCATCACGCCGTACAAGCTGTACAAAATTATGATGTACAACATGTAAATAAGCTAGAAATAGATCGTGTTCTATCTAAGCCTAAATCTAGCACTTTATACACTGTGTCGTCGCATGGAGACTCATTTTCAAACTTTGTACACGCTATTTACATAATAGAACAAAGTCCTGATAATTCCTGCCCTTTTTCTACGGGAGGTAAATTCGATAGCTTCCTACCCTGCAAACTCGGTTTAATAGAAGCTGCCACTAACGGCTGTTCCGCGTTTTCCTCTACGGGCGTCTCAACCGCTACCTTCTCCTTCTCTTTATTCTCCTCCGGCTCTTTGTTAATGTTCAGCGGTTTAGTAATATTGATCTTAATTCGCGATGGAGCCGCGGGAATAGCCGCCGGTGTCGAGTCCAATTCCACGTTTCCGTCGATGGAGCTTTTCACTGCGGCATACGTTGTGTCGACCGTGCCAGATTCAGTCACAATTTGTTCGGGATCTGAAGAGAAATCAGAGTATTATAGAGACGTGCTTGCGTGAAATAGAAAGTAGTTTGTTTACGATAATCTAAGACCGACACACATACCTGGTTCAGGTTCCATAGGTTCCTCTTTGACTTCCACGTTGGCGAAATCGAACATTTCGCTGTCGGGTTGCTCGTCAATGTCGTCCAGTGGCTCCTCTTTAATTTTAATATTCTCAAGAGGTACGGTTGCACTTTCGCCCGGAGACTCATCTTCTTTGTTTATCGTAGGCGCGTCTTTCTCAACATCCTCCATGGCACCTTCGGTATTCTCATTGACACTTTCTTCATTTTCTTTCGTCTCCGTATCGGTCTGCGGAGCTTCAGTGTTCTCTGTGTCAACAGGCTTCTCTTTCTCTGACCCAACAATAGAGTCTAAAATTTGCATCATGTTTATTTCCACTTGATTCAAATTCTTCGTCGACTCGAGCTGCTCCTTATTCGACGTTTCTGCATTGGGCTCTTCTTGTTTAGTTTCATTTCCGGGCGTTTCTTCGGAACATTCTACCTTATTTTCCTCAACTTCCGAAACTGCCTCCTCAAGCGCCAAAGCTGACTTTTCTAATGCTCTCTAAAGTATGAACAATAGATCAAGATTATTAAAATCGCACAAGTTCAAAGATGCCAGCAGTGGTGTAAATAAATACATTATTTATATCAAAACCAATTATATGTGCGAGTGAGAATAATTATACGACGACATGTATGGAGAAAAAATTGTGAAATATTCAACTCCTTCAGATGCATGTTGTTAAAAAATAAACAATCTCTCGTATATGTTTTAAATAAACGGAAATATTGCGTGTATAAAGTAACAGTTACTTGTTCTATTACTACGAGCAATAAAGCTTATAAATGATGTGCCATGAAGGTGAATTATTAAGAGAATCACGTACCGCTAGACTTTTTTCCTATTTTTTTTTTGTAAGAATGTAACAAACGTTGTTTTGTTAATGGAATACAATATCGACATATCAATATCGACAAAATTTAAATCTATACATCGATTAGAATAGGGAGACACCACAAACCTTATAATCCTCTAGACACAGCGGATGGTAATTCTTGCTCTCGTAATTAACTGCCGGTCTCAAATGCCACTCCTCCTTTTCCTCATTATAGAACTGCTCAAATGCGTCGTGGCACACTTGGCATCGCGATTCTTCGTCGCTGCCGGTCGGCACGCTGGGCTGCAACGTTTCCTGCGGCGAATCATCGGTAGCCATACCTTCCGTTTCTGCCGTCTGTTTCTCAGTCTCGAACCAACTTTGCGCTGAAAGAAAGAAAAAACGAGGCTTATAAGATAAAAAAGCGACGAGGCGTCAGTGTAGTCGAGCAATCGAACACGCCTGGTTTCGCTTACTCTTATTAAGTTATACGAGTCTTACGCTCCGAATATCCTCTCGCTCGTTTGCTGAGCTAAATACTGCCGCCTACAATTCGGCTAGCCTGACATTATGTTCGAATTTTTGGAACTCTTTGAGTAACGCGTAGGAAGGGTAAAAAAATATACGAACCTCTGTCCTCCAAATCTTCGATCTCCTCAAACTGTATCCAATCGCTGACATCGTAATACCAGGGCCGGGAATGCGCTTTTCTCGCAGAGTCTCGTTCACGCCTGTTTTGTCTAAAGTGCCAATCCAGATGGTGGCTGTATCGAGTAGCCAACTCAGGTGCGAATCTGGCGCCACAAGAACTGCATTGCATGCCACTGTACAACGCTGTTGCGATTGCTGGCTGTTTACTGTAAAAGAAACAGTCGTTTGATATCCGAAATTTGATCTTGTCTCATTTATATATTACGAAGGACAAATACGACGTCGATAGACGATAACTTACATCTTGAGAGTTTCCGGTTTGTCAAAGGACACTGGAGTAATTTCAGTATCTTTCTTCTCTTCTTCCTCCTGTTTCTTTTGTTCCGAGAGATTGGGAACGATACCAGTCTCAACCAATCTTTGGAACAATTCGCTCATATTCAGTGGCAATGTCGGTGCTGGTGCGGACGGATTTTCCACGGGTTCGGCTTGATACGACAAACCGGACGACGGCGCCATCGCTGATGGTAGAACTGACGACAATATATCTAATTGCAGGTCTAAAATTATATCAATAATTATTAAATCATAATAATTTAACAATTAAAGAATTATAATATAGAGAATACGTGATGGAGTTAATTTTTCACCTGGCTTTGAAGTAGAAGTAAAATCTAGACCATCCTGCGACGTGGATTCGTGTTCTATAGCGGGCAATTGGCTTGGCGCAGGGGCAGTGTCTATCTTCGGTTTTTGGGCTACTATAGGCGTCGCTGGTGGTGGCGATTCGCTGGGACCTTCGCCTCGCATTCCGGTAATTTTAACATGACCAGCACGCACTCCTCTAGGTAATACTGAAAACCTAATAAAATGCTTCTTGTCTCTGACAATAATAGGCTTAGGTAATCCCCCAAATTCGACCTTAAACGGTCGTCCATTTAGAAGAACTGTTTGCAATGCATCCGTGAATTCTAACGTATGAGGCTTTCCCTCGATTTCAAATCTGTAAAAGAAACAAGCATGATTACAAAAGCGCACATTTATGATGTAATTCTTTAAATCATTCGCACGCCGCGGGAAATGTACTTACATTTGTGGTTTCGCGTCTAGAAACACCGGCACCATATTGCGTGCATTGATGATAAGATTAATTTTCGCGACTACGAGATCCGTTCGCTTCACGGTGCCGATCTTAACTTGCGGCGGAGGACCCTCCAGTTTTACGCTGACTTTTTTCCCGCCGAGTTCGATTGTTATCGGCATACCGCCGAAGTAACACTCGTACCAGCAATCATCAACGTACAATTCTCGAGTGGGTGCTCCCAATTTGATCCTGAAAAGACACAAAATTCGCGATATTATTGCAATTCCGAATGTATCGCAATATTTAGAGTACAGTTCAAGTAACATCTGGATATGATGTACCCACCTATGCACCTCTCCCTCGTACATAAACTCCTTGTATTGATCGTTAAATGCGCAAGTTATAGTATCTTTCTCGTCAATCAATATTCTTCTTATGCCGTCCTGGAAACCGATCTCTCGTGGATCGTCCCAGTTCATGAACACCACACCGGTTTGCCCGTAATAACGAATCTCTCGCGGTATATTGTCAATATTTATGGACTTCATGGTATCTCTCGCTATCTCAGCCAACAGTTTCGAGTCTGGCGGCGGCAATTCGCGGCTGTGCGAACCCGGATTCTTCGAGTTACCGTAACTTTGATCGTTATCCTCGAGGTCGTACTTGGCGGATGTGTTCGGCGATACGTTTCTGCCAGACGTCAGAGGTGGCATGTTTGTCATAAGATTACTCATTGGTCCGTTGTTCATCATCATCGCGGGATGACAACCCATCGCCATAGGAGAGTTTGACATAGGTCCCATTGGTCCCATTGGGCCGTTCGGCAAAAGATTCGACATGATCGGCCCATTAGGACCCATCGGACCCATCATACCGGGTCCTAAACGCGGATTGGGTCCCATATTGTGATTGAAACCGCTATGATACTGATAATCCGGTCGCATCGGCCCGAAGTGTCGCGGATTCTGCCAAGGACCGACAGGTCTCATGTCCGAATTGAAGTGTCCTTGCGGCCCGCCGTACGGTGGCCCCGGCGGATGCGCCCACGGTTGTTGCCACGGCTGATTCTGCCATCTCGGACCGTTCGGGTTTCGTGGTATCGGATGCTCCTTGTTTCGCATCATCTCCTTATCGTTGGACGGGCTGAATGTCGCAACGCGATCCCCGGGGCCAGATATGTCCATGTTGATACCCTTCTCCCATATCACAGTGCCAGTCTCTTTCTCCTTACGCTGCGCCGCCCGCAATTTCCGGTCCTCGCTCATATGCAATACTTCTTGTATCAAGGTGTTGTACTGCGTTTTTGTGATCGATCCCTGGTTCAACTGCTCGGCGGCTTGCTTCATTATTATCTCAATATTTCTATCGTCATTTCTCTCGGGCTTATCATTCTCCCGACCTCTGCGCCCTGGCCTGGTGTCCTGTTCCTCGTTCGATAACGTTCTTCTTCTCTCTTTAGGATCATCCGGGAGCTTGTTATAGAGTCTAAGACGTCCTAATCTATCCCTATTACGGTCCCTCTCGCGCTTATCGTCGACGTTGTTAACTTGCTTATCTCTGTCATTCTTCGTGGGCGTCTTTAACTTTGCCCAACCATCTTTTCCATCCTCCCCGGAAATTACGGGCGGTGGAGGCGTCGGAGGTCGACCGGCTTTAGGATGCGTCAACGTGCGCAAATCCACGTCTTCATTACCGAATAATCTGTGAAATATAAAGGAAGTCTTGCAACTTATTGTACACGTGAGATTAACGTAATTAATTAACGATACATACGCGTCAAATTTCTCAGCCTTGGTTTTCTTCGGTGGAGTCGCCTCTACACATTCCTCACTACGTCTTTTGTTAGTGTTAACCGATGGTAATACTCGTAGATCTAAATCTTCTTCTGGAAAAGAATTCAAGATAGAGTAACTTGTGCGAGACAAATTTATCACGAATTAACTTAATGTTACCGTTTCTCTTTTTTATCATATATCCCTAATGCATTTCGGAGAATAAGATTTTCGGGCAATATTTTCCTGAAGAAATGCACGTTAAGAGATTTCACCAAAGTAATTGGAATTATATAAATTTTGAGCGTAAGAGAAGTTAGTACAAGTTGAAGAATACTACTTTTTAAAGATATCACCTGTTACAGTCTTGCAATTGCTACCAGAGATGAAGCAAACATTGTAGTCACCTTTATGAGAAAATATTCAAGACAGAATTTTTAGCAGTAACTAGAGAAAGCACGTAGGAAAATTGGTAGATACTCTTACATGCATAATTGAAATAAATGGCAGATATTCATGAATAGTGTTACTGGTCGTTACATATAGATATGTGTTGCCAAACACTGTTGACTCACTCTTTTCGGATATGGAAACAGCGGCTCCAGGTAGAGACAGTGGTGCCCTGAGATCTTCGTCTTTGCTAGAGGATTCCAATGTTGGCTCGGCAGCGATTTGAGTATTTCCAGCACTGGCTGGGGAACGTTCCGGACTAAGACTGTCGTCTTTATTTCGTCTTACATAATTTCTCTGTCTAGCGTTCGGCCTGATCTCTTTGAATGCGGGTGGATGAGGAGGAGATACTATCAGCGATCCAGATTGCTCCTCCTCAGTAACACCACCGGAATTGTTCAAGTTCGAGCTCGATTTCGCGTCGTTACGCCTGGGGATTCTATACGGAGGACTTGGACTACGCTTTCTCGATTTCGTATTTTTCTTGCGGTTTTTCGAGGCTTGGAAGGAGGATTGTGGAGAGGTACGTGAGGACGGTGAACTGTCTCCGCTGTCTTTCTCACGAGATTTTGACCTAATCGGACTCGAGTCTCTGTCGACTTTCGGAATCTTACTCGGACATATCTGAGGCTGTTTAGATCGCGACTTATTACCTAATTTCCTATGCGACGACTTGGAGGAAGTGGAAGACTTGTCAGCCGAAGACGAGGAAGAGCCGCGCGAGTTCGAGCTCTTCGAGTCTTTCGACTTGTTGACGTCACTACCTCCACTTCCTCGATTGCCCGTTGATAATACTGAAGACGAGTTATTACTGGAAACCGATAAACTCTGGCTGTTCTTGGAGTTGTTACTGTTTAGGTTACCACTACTATTACTATTTAATCGAGGATCTTTCTTTTGACTTGTTCGATGCAAGACAGCATCTTTATTTATGTTACTACTGAAATTTTTATTATTGCTATTATTATCAGCATTATTGTTATTAATAACGTTTAATAACGTCGGATTATCGGATCCGGCAGGATTCGCCGGAGGCTTGTTGATAGTTACAGCCGATTTCGAAAGTATCTGCTGTTTTAATTGGTTTGAAGTTACAATTGTATTTGCCACTTGCTGCGTTTGACCTTCACTCCGCACTTCTTTCGGACTGGTCGTACCCGGTCGTTGTCGTGGATTTACCGTTGGCACCGCCACATCCTGAACAGCAGGAGTGGGCTTCAAACGTGGATCTCGCGAGACTGGTTTAGCCGACGCTACTGCTATACTACTAGCTGGTGCGATTCGTGGACCGTTGTTTGTTCCTGCGTTCTTTAAAAGCGATGCCGTCGCTGCTGGAAACTATAAGCAAATAAAAATGTTATTAATCGTAACTGCTAATATTCAACAATTATATATATGCAATGTCGCATGATTCCGTACAAAAGCGATAGACTCATAATTTCGGATTTGATCTCATGCCATATATATATTTTTAAATTCGTAATCTGTGTGAAGCGGATCTTTAATACTCTAGAATAAGGATTAGTGTGTTAGTAACCCATTCTCGAAAAAAAAAAAACCCCATTTAAAACCCTCAAAATTACGAAACCTTCAAATTAAAACAGACCAAGGTCCGACTCGAACTGTGGAACCACAGGTTTCTTTAATTATATATGTGACATATTTAACTTACTTGTTTTGCTACTTGTTTTGGAGTTTGATTTGGCACTAGAGGTGCTATAGATTTCGCCTGCGTCGTTGTCTCCGTAGTTGGCGCAACATGTGCAGTGGACACAATCTATAACAACAGAAATATATATATCACTATTCATATAAAGAAAGCCCGGCGCAGTGAAGCGTTAAACTGCGAACAAAAAAAAACTATAACAGAGTCTCAGTTGATATCTATTTATAAAAACTGACTAAGTAGAACTTACCACTTCTGTCTTCAAGCTTCCAGCTTGTTTGTCAAGCTGCCTCTGCTGTTGCTCTAAACTCGCTTTAGCCTGCAACAATTCTAACTCAATTTTCTTCTTTTGCAATTCTAACAATTCTCGTTGCTTCTTCAGCAACTGTTCTCGCATGACTGCTTCTGTTGTTGTCGGTTCTCCTGGTGACAATTTAACAGGTGGAACGATTGACGTTGCAGTTTGTTGAGGCTGAAAAAATTAATATGCAAACCGTGATATTATAATAATAATACGTTTTCCTCGCACATATACAATCGCATATATATATGAAACTTACCATTGAAAGAAATCTTGGGTTGACATGTATGGATCCTGAAGGGATGCTAGCGGATGGGATGATTGGCCATGCAGGATCAATACGTTGTACCTGATAATCTAATGACAATAATTTCTGCGGTGGAAATACATCGCTCCACGTTTGTCGCAGCTTCCACATGCTGGCTCTCGTGTTCTCGTCGACCTATTTATGAAAATGGCAATTGGCAATCAATTACGAAGTTAAAAAGAAGCCGAGAGAAACTTTGGCGTGAGATCAATCATTTTAAATTTCGAAGATATCGCCAACTCTTTCGCATATATATTCGATAGAATCTTTTGTTTTCGTTTATTAAGATTTTTCTCAGAATTCGAGATGTAAGTATTTATATCCTTTCCGAAAGGAAAAACCAATATATAAAACTCCGTATCTATAAAGGCTTTCAGAGTTGCGAGGTGAGTTGGATGTTGTATTGATCAAACAATTATCTTATGTCATCGTGAAATATAAAGTGCCAGGCTCTATACACGCTATGAAATATTTCTTTCAGAAACTTCGTGGAGTTTGTAGTTTTGCTTCATTGCGTGCGGATAGAAAGCAAAGGTTACTCCCGGTCAGCGACAGATCGTCAATCGCGAGGAAGAAGTCGCGCTTGTCCCTGATGATATTCTGTATCGGTGATCTTATGAAAACAATGAAGATATTTACCTTCTCAAACACGCCGCAGAATGTGTTTACTATGTTTTGCGTGAAGAGATTCAGATAGTCGCCATTCACATTCTTGACAATCGAGTCGATGAGATAGAGTACCGGTAACTTGATGTCACTTCTCACCTAATGAAACACAACAATATGCACAATACGCTACCTCACTAATTACTTAATAAGGATTACTTAAGCTATTATATGTGCGCGGTTATGTAAAAATATCTCAATATACATGCACATTCTGGAGTCATATAATGATTCCGAAAAAATATAGTTTCTCTTCAACTACATATTCTTTCAATTTGAAGTCCATTTTTCCTTGGAACAGCTTGATAGGAAGCCTAATTACGAAAGTGCTTAACGTAGAAGATCGAGGCTCTGCTGTATTAAATTTCAATAGGATAATTTCGCAAGGGTAACACACATAGTAAAATCTTATATTTTTCAATTAGTTATAAATATATTTTATTTGTACAGATACTTAAACTGCGGCTGAATTGCCAGTACATTTAATGCTGCAAGTAAAAAAGTGCAATGATAAATAGCCACCTATCAAATTTCCATTGGGAAAATGTCCATTGTAAATTTGTTAAAGAATGTATAGCTAAGGGAAGATGGATATAATTTCGGAACACTTTGTACATGAAAATGAAGGGTACAGGAGAAAAATGATCAAATTCCACTTTTTGTCGAAATTGATCACGCTTGTCTTGTGGCATTTTCAAAGAACCTTCATCATTCTTATCTGTTTTGATCGAGAACAGTTACAATTCATTGAAAGTAAGGCCGAAAGAATTGTGCCGCGCTGGGGAAAAACGATCATAGTTCACGCGCTTGTGAGGAAGAGCCATTAGTGAACAGCAGTAAACACTAAGGCTGCGTTCCAATATTCACTGCCAGTAAATCTATAACGCACGTAACGTGAACTATCCGATGTCTTGAAACTTAAAACTGGCATTCTTCTCGAAATTACTCCGGATGGACATTGATCGTTTTTCCCCTGTACTCTTCAAAATTCACATATTGTCGAAGTCGATTATTGCATTCCTAAAAAATCGACAAATTCGTGGATAAATTGTATTTTATTCAAGCACGGGTATGTGTTCTTATGTAGTAATATCACGTAGGCATTACATAATCCTAAGCATTTAACACAGTATGTACACAAGCCTTTTATTATATGGTTCAATAAAATATAAATATAAATCAACTGAGATTGGACACGAACGTATCGGATATCTCGACTAATAAAATGTACGTAGCACATTTGGAATTTTACATAAATACAATATTGAAGTCAATAAGTTTTGATAATATTTTATTTGTTTTGACACACATAATGTAATATAACTACTATAAACCTTGGTATAAAATATTGCTTCTTATATAACGCAGTCTCAAATTGTTGCGGGTTTTTTTTTTACACACGCCTTCTGATTTTCTGCCTCGATAAAAAACCTATCAGTTATTCTTTACAAAAATAACACAGGCTGTTTATATCTTTATAAATAATTCGCAAATTGTGCGCGATGCAAAGAGAAACAACAGGCAATATCACATATAAATAGGACCGTTATGCCACGTGACGCAAAAAAAGAATTTTTCGTTATGCCTACAAAAGGAAACTTTGCAATTAAAAATAAAAACGTTAACGGTGAAAGGGGAAAAAAGTCTACGGTTCTACGCGAGTTAACATTGATGCACGAAATTATTAATCCGGAAAAATCCGTATTTTAAGTGTAACTATGGTAGAGATTAGGTAACCTTTTGCAGATGATCCTCGACGGCTTGCACTATCGCTGATGCGTGTTCGATGTTATCTTCGGCCAGCATGGTGAGCATGTTAATAAGCGGCTTACTGTTAATCGTAAGATCAGACAGAGATGAGATGTACTCCTCTGCGACTTCTTTGGACTTGGTTGACGCGAACATGATGCCACTACGAGCGGACAAACGCGCGAGACCCTGATCGAACCGAGAACAGGGATTCAAACTGTAACATAAAGAAGGACGTGCACTGTGTAGTAAAAATTTTACCCTTTAATAAGGATTACTAAAAATAATTAAAAAAAAAAGAAGCAATTTATGTATTAGGCAAATATAAGAAAAGTTTTTACAGCTTTTAATTCCCCCTTAGAACAATAATCCATTAAATCTACTTGATTTGATATAAAATAAAATATCTAAATATAGTTGAGTGGATGTTTTTTGACACGAAAATTATATACATACGGTTTATAATTAAAATATATTAAAGTACGTTTCAAGGAAATCGAGATCCTGGTAATCTCCGGCTTTTAAATATAAATGTTTCGCATGCTTTTTATAATTTCACGCGCAACGACGGGTATTACATCATCTCAATTATCTCGCTCGCAAAAATCTGCGTGTTTTTCCAGAAAACCTGTTGTAAAACACGCATCGGCACGAGTCCCAACTGGACCCGCGCTCCGAAAAGTCCTACACAGAATCTGGAAAGCGTTACGACACGCGGCTGGAAGCTCGTAACGTGCCACCTCCCGAAGGAGCGCGTCCTTCAGGACGCCACTTGCTTCCAGCAGGCCTCGAAACGCGCCCCAACGTCGTGTTCGCGCACAAATTATCACCAAGACAAACCGTCCGGAGGGATGATTCACCCGGGGAACGCGCCAATTCCCGCGGGATGATTCACCCGGAGAAGACGGTTCCCGTCGGGAGACGAGAAGCGTACGTCGCGGGACGTCACGGTCGAGCAACGGCGGCGGCGACGGCGGCGACTTTTTGCGGCCGTCCCGTTCCGAAAAGGAAAGCCCCGCTTCTCGCGGTCGCGCCGAGACGAATAATCTGGGACGGGAAAGCGAGACGAAGCGCAGCTGGGCGACGCGTCGCGACACGTTCCGACACGTTAAAGGGACCGCGCGGCTGGAATCCGGCCCGGATTTCGGGGTAACCTCGGGGGGGCGTCGCTCCCGACTCGGGCCGAGGAGGGACTCCGACGACTGGTGTTTACGTAATACCATCCGCGGTCTCTGGACGAGAAGGTCGGCGGCACGTCTCTCCGTACGCGGAGAGAGGAACACTTTTATCGATTTCACTCGCGGTCTCCGTCTCGCGCACCCGCTCTCTCGCTCTCGCTCTCCACCGCGATCGAAGCGGCGATTTTCCCCACCGGAATCCGCGCGAGAGTCCTCCCGGACGCGACGACTCGTCGCCGTCCACCAGGCAGCAGGGTCGCGCGGCCGCGAGGCGTCCAGCGCGCATCTGGATCCGCCGCCGTTGCCGTCGCCGTCGCCGTCGTCGTCGTCTCGCCTTCCGTGTCTCTCTCCGCGAAACTCGTCACCCGTACGCTTCTTTTTTCTACTATCTCTTGACCGACGATTAATTACCTTTCCTCAGCGCATCGCGCGACGCAGGCAGACACAGCCCGTGCGATGTTAATACGCCCCGTACTTGGACGGGATCGTCGAAAAAGGTACGCGCGTCGCACTACACTACCGCTTACGCGAACAGGATCTCCACGTAAAATGTGCGGTGAAATGGCCGCCGCGCATACCATACCACACTGCCGCGACGGGACGGCGCGCGATGTAACGTCGTTTCCCATTGGACGGCGGTGACGCACGAGAGCGGTTGGTCCTCCTCGGGAGAACCAATCGTCGGGCGCGTTTCAGCAGCGACCGGCGTCGCTGCGATCGCTCGTGCAACGAGTCACGTAAACTCGTTTCTATGCCGTGAAGTGCGCCTAGAAACCGAAACAAGCTTTTGGCGAATTTCTCCCCGTACGACACGTACGACGCGGCAACACTGTGCAACGGTGCGCGGACGGCGGCGAATCAATGCTCCGCTTTCCGTTCGAACGAAGGATAATTGGCTACGGGAGTGAGAATTTAGATGCCTGAAATTCATCACGAAAGGACGCTAGGTAAAGTTCCCAGATATGCAAATTCTCCCATTGGTCTCCAGATAGATATCGGATACATTCCGAATGTCCCAAAATTTTATGGCACATATCGAAATGTATTTGAAAATGTTACATTTCGAATTGTATTTGAAAATTTTCGTATTTTAATAATTTAACGTCCTAACGAGTTCTAATAAATACTCGTAGTTGAATGTGAAATTTAAAAACATGTAAAAGATATCATTTCTTTTGAATATATTTTATTGTGCATTAATTAATTAATAATAACGCGTTAATTAACCAAATAATACTGTTCGCTTTAGAAAAGATAAGACTGTAATCGATCCTTTAAAAAATATATCTTTGTTCTACTTAACATTCGAAGAAAATGGATTATTTTATAATTTTTCTCCATATTATAACGTATATTTTTATGTATATTTCGCGTTACGATCGATATCACATCCTTTTATTTCAGTAATTTAAATTCCATGTATATAAAATCTACATACTCATCTACTGGAAATATTTTACTTTAACTTTGTAAATCGAGATTTGCAGAAATTTGAGAAATACTTGTTATGTTAATATAACGAGTATTAATCCGTGCGCAAATGTGAACAACGTTTATATATTGTCTAGTATCTGCTATGGATGTAAAATCTATATATGCATCAGCTGCAGTCCTTTTTCAAAGAAATTTAATTCTTTACGTTTTTCGAGGGAAATATTATCGGAACAAAAGCTATTTGTTTTAAAATACCTGCATAGATGTGATTAATATATACATATAGACATAGATATTTTTTTCTTTGATTTTTTTATTCTTTGACATTTAATTATTGAGAGAATCAGTATAATAGAAAGAACCTCTATCTATACTATAACTATAACATTTTTCTCGAAGAAACTTGTTCCTAAATCTTTGTAGATAATTATTTAGAAATATAAGAAGATACATATTTCTTATTTTATAATTAACATCGGTAAGCTATATTAATGCTTGTTTATTGCTTAATGTAAATTACAAATTGATACAGAAATTGATAAAAGTATCGTTTAAAAATGTTTTTAATACATATGTTGTGCAATGGCGGCGCACAAGTAAATAAATTCCATTT